TCAACCAGATGTCCACAAGCTAGATCCAAAGGCCATCATTTGAAAGTCTACAATGCACCCTAGTCAACATGCAACATGGAATCAGAAAGGCCAACATGGACCAGGGCTTATTGGACCAAAAAACTGCTATGGACACCCCCTATTTGCTGATTACAAGGCCCATTTATCTCTTTTCTTTTTATATTCTTTCTTTTATTTATTTTATTTTATTTATTTTCTCACAAAAATTAATTCTTTTTTACAAAAAATTCATAAAATCAATTTTTCATCAAATTAGATTTAGGTTTATTTTTTTTATCAAATTTAATTTAATTAGTTTACTAAATTTAGGGCAATTTTAATCTTTTTGTAAATAAATTAAAACAAATTAGAAAATTAGGTTTTATTTGATTTAACTTTTATTTTCTTTTCTCAAAATAACTAAAATGCAAAAATAGGTCAAAATTAATTATTTTTCTTAATTTTAATTAATTAGTAACTAGGTTTGTATTTATTCATTAAAATCTTATTTTCTTAAAATAATCAAAACAACAAAAAATGATTTTTCTTTTAATTAGGTTAGACGGGGTCAAAACCCTAATTTTTCTTATTCTCGATTCATCACGCGTTTATTATATTTTTGCAAATATTAATGTAACTGTTCATGAGATGTAATAGTTTAATTAGGACTTTTCTTTTATTTATCGTTTTACGAGTTTTGGCTATGTAATTAATCCCCCTCCCCGAAGCCTTGTAATAGCGTAGCTTTATTTCTCGCATTTTAATTTTCGTAAATATTAACTATTAGATGTATGATAATAGGATTGCATGACAAGAATGTATGTCAATTTTAAAATGGTTAGCAAACCCTAAATGTGCAAAGATAATAACTGAAATCAAATCACTCGCACATGCGCACTCCTAGGATATACTCTCACTTCGGTTGCCTTCGGTAAACGATCATTAAGTATAGGATATTTTAGTGGTCGCCCTTTTGTCTAAACAAAGATCAAATGTCCCGTTCGGAAATGTTGTCTCGGAAAGGTTGCCTCGGAAATGTTGCCTCGAATATGATCTTAAGACACTAGGGTTATTACTAAGACGTCCTAACATTGCTTTAGTGATCGTACCTCCCTTTCGAATTGACCCTTATAACTCCAACGACGGTGCTACCTACTCACTAATAGTGGGATAACGTTGTCTAAAGGAAACAAGAACATAAACATTCTTTTTTCGAGTAGGTAGATGCTAGTAGGTACTTGCTCAAAATAAACTTTTCCACACTTACACTCTTTTCAAACAAAGTTTTCAAAATGACTTCGTAACAATCTTGAAGACAGGAGCAAGGGTTAAATCGAAGTAAAACAATTTTTTTTCAAAATACACAAACACGGAAGCGATTTTTAAAATGATGAGCAAGTACCTAAGAGCCCATGGAAAACCATGGATAGAAAGGGTGCTAGTACCTTCCCTTTCTATAATCTACCCCCCGTACTCAAAATCTCGAAAAAAGGAATTTTTCTATGCTTTTTTCCTTTCCAGTTGGATAAAATAAAAGTCAGTGGCGACTCTTGCTTACCACGATATTTTGCGAACACAAACGCAAAACGCAAACCAGCATTTTCCTAAAACAGTCCGGTTCTGCCACCGTATCACACCTAACCTCGCGGTATAAAATTGGGATTAGTAATGAATTTTGTAAGTGTGTGGTCTAGGTTAGTAATAGTGAACCTCACGGCGGACATCAAATGTACTTAAAATATACACCAATGCAACTCTAATATCTAGGGCAATAATGTCATAATTCTCTAGAATTTGAAATGCATGTCTATGCCTGGTCATTATTATCATTAATCACTCCTTTAAACCTGTTGTTTGAGTGTTTAAAACCTCTTAATGGAGTGTCTTATCCATGTTACTATTGGGTCAGTTAGGCCGAGTCGGATTCCTAGATTAGGGTTGTGTTGACAATCCGTCCATTCCTTATGGAGTACTCTCTAGGGTATTGACGAAATTCTTGTATGTAGGGTCGATTTTATTGGGCTTAGAGATTCTGCAAAAAAATAGATATTACTGACATATAGTCTCCCAAAGACGAAACATGTAAAAGCAAAGTGTTTTGAGTAAAATGCTATAACATTACATAGTCCTCCAAATAAAAGGCGTGCAAGGGTGAAGCGTTTTGATTGAAAGACCATAATATTACATAATCTCGCAGACATAAAGTGTTGAGTGTAAGACGATGACTTCACAACTTTATCTCTTTCTCATTTAACTTCACCTCCTAAAATATTTTCAATAAAAAAAAAAATTAAAGTTGAAAAAATATTAAGAAACTTCAGATAAATTCTTCGATAGCAATTGTAAATTGAAACACCTATTATATATATATATATATATATATATATATATATATATATATATATATATATATATATATATATATATATATATATATATATATATATATATATATATATATATATATATATATATATATATATATATATATATATATATATATATATATATATATATATATATATAAATTACCATTTACCTAGATAACATTATCACAAAACAAATTGCATTAGAAATAAATTTTTCAGACAATATAAAATAAAAGCATTGCATTTGAAATAGATAATATTAATTTAAAAAATATTTTTAAAAAATTAATGACCATTTTACATTATCAAAAATATCTATCTATTTTAATTTAAATCTCAAATATATATGTTTGAAATAAATTTTCAAGACAATATAAAATATATAAGTTACATATGGAATAGATACAATTTTCAAGAATATTTATCTAAAAACCAATTTATTAACATCTAATAATTTATTTTTGCCACATTTTATAAAAAAATCATTTCACTTATTTGATTAGTCAAATTTTTCCTTTTTTTTCTTTCAAATTTTAATTTAATAGTGCTCACTTTAATAGCTCTTACTTTAATATGTAAAAAAATATTGTAATTTTATATTTAACTAATTTTTTTTTTTGAATTACCACAATTTTAAACTTTTTAATTTTTTTTCTTCCTTTTTTTGAAATCTTTAATTGTAATTTTAATATCTTTTACTTTAATATTATAAAAAAAATTTCATTTTAATAACTTTTACAATTCTATAACTCATAGTATTTTATAATATTTTAATTATATAATTTTTCATTTCTATAATTTTCATTATTCTACAATTTTAATATTTTGTTTTATGAAATATTTAATTCTCAATTTAATAGATTTTATTTTAATATTTCATAAAAAAATTATTTCTATAACTTTTAATTGACTTTTCATTAACCAAGGAGATATAACTATGAGGATTTTGTTGAAATACTATTTTTTTATTTAATATAGTAGATATAATAATATTTTAATTTATGTTTTTCTTTAATATTGTATTACTAAACATATATTACGTCTCTTTTCTTTCTATTCCTTATTATTTATATGTGAAATATTAATATATTATTTCAGTTGTTGTGATTGTATGGTAAAACATTTATTGTAAATTTTATATTTTTTTTTCTTTTTTTTTTCATCTTAATTGTTAATATTATAAATTATTTATTTTGAAATGGATTAAATTGTAAAAACTAATATGAAAATTCTTTCATTATTTCAACTATTTTATGTATTTTTAAATTAAACATTTATGATTAATATTATGAATTATTTATTTTGAAATTATGGAGTTGTAGAAACTAATATGAAGATTTTATCTCCATTTTAACTACTTTTTTTTATATTATTTTAAAAAATTCTTACAAATTTTTTTTTTTAAAATGAAAAAAATTTCAAAAGAAAAAGAAACGAGAAACAGACTTAAAAAAAAAAAGCAACAAAAAATAATTCGCATTAATCTTTATATTTTTAAAGAATTTCTATTTTAGATAATCCATAATTTCTTATTGTATTTGTTATTGAAATATCATAAATTACTGTGTCTTTTGAATCCTTCTTAATATTTTTAATAATGAATAATTTATTATTGTAGTAGTTCCTTTTTATTAAAATATAATATTGTAATTTAAATATATTATTTCAAGTATTTCTATTTTACTAAAAAAATATTCATTTTATTTATTTAGTTAAAACTATCATCTTCTAACTATAAAAATAAATCAAAATAATTTGTAAAATAAATAAATAAATTTAATTTTGTGTAACGTGCCGGTCAAAATCTAATTTAAAGAAATTTAATCACGCTTAACCTTTAACTAGAGGAAAAATATTTAGGTTGATACAAATATAACATTTGACTTACAAACCATCAATTAGATTTTTTTATTAATTAAAAATAAAAATATAATATTCACTTTTTCATAATCACAATCACTATAATTTCAACTTTTAACAAAAAATTAAATTTGAAATAATCTTAAAATTTTATCTCTTGTTAATAATTATTTTTAACAATAAAAATTAAGTTCGTTTCTATGTAAGTTTTTCTCTAACTAGATTACATATTTCTTGAATCGACAATTTCGTACTTATTGCGTGTGGCCTTTCAAATCAGCGTAAGAGGCCACGCATTCATGTGCGTCGTGTCCGTGTCTCTTATACACACACGTTCCCAAGCACAAGATACGCGTCCTCCAAGAAGCTATAGACAAATGCCACCCGTGCACTAGAAACGTTAAATACTCATACGACCACCTTTTTGGAAATGGAAATAGCTAACTTATCTATAACTCAAATTATTGTGATTCTCTCTTTATATATAAAAACCAAAATCACTATATGATTTCATATATAATATAATATTCCTAATGTTTGGCATGGATGCGACCATTTAACCGAAACCGAAGGGTGCCCCATGCCATTAGCACATGCTCCACGCGCTGATCACTTACTGGTGCTTCCTTTTACCTTTATTTTGAATCTAAATTACTTCTAGAAATGAATGTTAACAATAACCTCAATACAGAAAGAATCAAGAATTTGGCACGAAAGCAACATATCATGTTTTTGGAAAACGCAGTGTGACCGATGGAGACTTAGTGTGTCATGCGTTTTTGCATAAACGCATGTTATTTTGTTTTCGAGAAAGGCACTGTGTTTGGTTTGGTACTTGTAAAATATGTGTTCAGCTATTATTTGAGTCGAGAAAGGCACTGTGTTTGGTTTAATACTAGTAAAATATGTGTTCAGCTATTATTTGAGTAGAGTGGTGTACTCATGAAAAGTCGAGATTAAACTATTAATTAATTTAAATTATAAATTAAAAGTTGTCATTGTATTTTATTTTTTTCAAAGGAATGTGAAAAGAGTTAATAAAATCAACAAATTTTTTTAATGCAAAACTAATAAAATTGAGATCTAGGTACAAGGTTCGTTACGTAAATGGAAGATGTTAGTATTCTAAACATTCACGGTACTCTGAATGAACCTCTTTAAAAATCTGTATATTTGACTAAAAAGAGTTGTTTGTAAAAAGTTTGTGGGGATGAGAAAAGAAATGGTTTTTATAATTTTGATTTGGTAAAATTTCAAGAGTCTCGTGCTTACGTACCACCAATGTACAATGATGAAATTAAAACCACGTAGTTCTTTTAAAAAATGAACAAATTTGTTTGTTGGTTGTTTTTAAGAGAGAGACATTTTACCATTTTAAAGAGAAATAAACTCAAATAATCAACCACAAGTATGAGAAGGTGGACCTTTGTATCATAAATGAAAGAAAGACTCCAATTTGAATAATTTAATAAGTATGTCACTAACTTTTTTACGTGGAAAATGATGAACATCTAAAATCAATCAATTATATAGGATAGGAGGATTACAACTCAACTAAACATTCACAGTCATTGGAAAAGGGGGTCATTAGTATCATAAATGAAAGAAGAGCTTCAATCTGAATAATTCAACAAGTATGCCGCTAGCTCTTTCAAGTGAAAAAGGATTTACCTTTCAACCAATTTTGTGAGAATAGGAGTGTCTAATCTTAAGAAAAAGTTTTAAAACAAAAAAGCCAAGTGGCAAAAGATTTTAAATGAGTTTTTGGAAGAAAAAAAGTTTAATTTTGATTAAATGAATTAAGATTTGATTAAGAAAAATATTTTGAAAATGCACTTGACAAAGTCAAGGTTTTTATTGAAAGTGGTTTAAATTTGAAAACAAAAAAAAAATTTGAAAAAGGAGGGAGAAAATTTGAAAATTAAAGAAGATGGGCAAAGCTGAAGGGGCTATCCTAAAACATAAAGTAAAAGTTAAGATAGGAAAGTTTTAACCAAACAAGAGCAATCATCTTGACACAAGTCAAACAATGCATCTGATTCCTTTGGATTAAAGCCACACAATCAAATAATAAGCATCAGATGAACAATAATGCATCAGGTGTAAGTTCAACATCAGATGAATCACAAAGAGTACAAATAATTTCTTATGTATCAGATAAACTTGATGTCTCCGATGAATTATTCTTGCATCATATGAATTTCAAAGTAACACATGCACACATAAATTTCTTAATACACACGCAAAATAACAACCAAGGTCTCAAAGTTCAAAAAGTCTCAAAGTCTCAAGGTTATATCCTAAGGTCATGTTTACCTCTGATTTTGGTAAACAACGCTGGTATCTTAACAGAAAGTTTACTGACGAGATCGACTAGAGAATCTTAGTATAGTGCTTCAGTTTTTGATTATTTTCATAAAGTATGTTCAAAAGGGACTAAGGCGAAACGAATTTAAAAGCAATAAAGCAGGAATTGTAAAATAAAACAAAGATGTTTTAAACTGTAAAAATAGATGACATAACATTAAAATAGTTGAAAATGGGTTGATTCAAACATACATCGCCCTTGCTTGACTCATTTCGCTCGTTCGCTTGGATACTCTGAGTGACTAGCGTGTAGGAATATGAAAGTTTGAATCCTTTACACTATGCACTAAGTGCTTTATTTATAATATATGAAAATAACTACTTTTCAGATGGCTTCGCTTCTTTATATGCCACACGTCTCTTGTAAATTCCCTCCATGAACCCACGTTCTCCATCCCTGCTATCGAACCCACATTTTACATTCTTACTATCGAACCCACATTCTCCATTCACAACACTTTTCTTTGCTAGTTATGCTTTTTTTTGGGCTTTTTAACACTCCTGGTTCCAATCCATTCCTCATGAGGCCTCTTTTCTGGTCGACTGTGTCCGCAAGCCCAAAATAGCCTTTTATGAAACCTCTTCCAGTCGATTGCTTCTGTGGTCGATTTTCTATAACTCAAAGTCTTCAAAGAACCTTTTTTACTTTTGGTTGGATTTTAACCCTTTGTGAAAATCCTATACCAACAAATTGCCCCCCAAAATGTCCTTTTCGACTGAAAGAACATAAACGAACATTTTAATCCTTTTCTCTTAGTGTGAAGTGATGTCATTGTAATCATGACCTTTTCCCTCAAACGTTACATCAGCGATCAGACAACCACTTTCCCATATTCAAGTTTCAACTTCCTAGGATAATCGTGGCCTCCAACTCACCAACTTCTTAAACTCAGTTGCCATCTGTTTGACATGTGTTGATCGTGTAGCCATAATTATTTTTCCATTTTCTCCATAACGTTTGGTCTCCTTGATGATATAAATACCCCTTTCATCTCTCGAATTTCCTTTTTATGTTTCTTTGTATAGTCAAGCTCTTTATCTTCGTACACCACAAAAACTTTCATTTTCATTTTTACCCATAACAACTTTCCATCATCTCCATGGCCGCTTCAAGAAAAATCTCTAAACACATTCAAACTCCCTAGGAAATTAAATTGGTTTCCAATATGAGTGAGTTCTTTGTTCATGATCAAAACACTTGTCTTAGAACCAATGCCAACACGCAATCTCCAAACTTTTCGCTCCCAACTGTTGCTTCCCTTCATCTACAACAACATTGCTTACGCTCTATTGGGGCCTATTCCTGATGAGATTAGGGTGCCTAAACATTTGGAAGGTTGCTTCCCTACTCACAAAACCACCAAACCCCATATCAACAAAGATTTCCCTTTAGATTTTTCACACATCTACCGTACGTCTAAAGTCTTCTATTTTGCCCTTGTTGTCAACCAAGATTACATTGCATGGTTGAATAAAATAGAGAAAATGAAGGGTGACGTTTGAAAGGCTCAAGGATTTTTGGACTTGATTCAGCTTTCTAGGGTTGGCCCTAGTTATTGCAATCACATGCTTATTTCCACACTCTACTTCAGGGAAGACTCTACAAATACCTTCCATTTTGCAACTGGGATGCTTACTCCCACCCTGTTTGACATTGCAACCATCACTGGTCTCCGTCCTACAAGTGAATCGTTTCTTCCCACTGAAGCAGACAAAAACATTATTCCTTTTGAAAAGGACATTGCTGGCTTCACCAAATATATGGAGCATTTTCACGCCAAAGGTGTCAACACTGTGTCTGACGAATAACACATTGCCTTCTTGGCCTTGTGGCTCTCCAAGTATGTTTTCTGCAATTCATCTGTGAAGGTAGCTAAACGATTCATTGTGTTAGCTCATCACCTCCATCTAGGATGATACATATGCTTGAGCGAACTTATTTTAGGGTCACTCTATGAATCACTCAGCGTGGGGCTCGATTATATGACTTCACATTCATCTACTGCAAGATATCTGCTTGATGGGTCTTTTTGGGTGCTTCAATTGTGGTTAAATGCCACTTTTGCGAGCCAACTCAAACAGCGCATTTTTTAAGCACATGAGACTGCATTCGTCCAACGTGCCAACGAAAGCCTTCTTCTTACTGCAATGACGCCTTCCAACAATGACATGACTCGAGAAGAGTTACTTGAGAAATACTTGAAGTTTTTATTTAGGTTCAATTTTTTCACCCAAGCATGGCATCCTTTTCCTCTAGATAACATGGTCTTGAGTGGTTCACTCGACTCCTCCTGTCGATCCTGCGCAGGTCCTTGAATCCAAAGCCATTTGGAAAGCTTTCTTAACCCCTAGGCTCATAGCATCTAGGGTAGGAGCTAATGATGGCGTGACACTCCTGCGTTATCACCCTAATCTGGTGGCTAGACAGTTTGGCTTATGCCAACCTTGGCCTCACATCTTTTATAAGCCATCTGATGAACTGTGTCTTTCATCTACCAACTACAATGAGGGAGAATGTGCTCAATGACTTCAACATTTTGTTAATGATGTCCCCAAGATAACTCATGTCACCTTCGGACCCCTCTTCTACACAATTAAGGAGTTATATGATTGGTGGATTGTGTATTTTGGGAAACGTAATGGGACTCTCAAGTCCTTCAAAGCTCGACTGAACCATGCTTTTGAAGCCATTCAACAAACTTTAGGAAAGGTATGGTTTACTATTGTAACCTTCAGTCGCCTTCTTGTTTATGTTTTGACTTCTAACACTTAGTCTTATGTTATTACCTTATTCAACGGTTGAGCATAAGAAACGCGTCAGGGAAACTATCAGTGGTGCGACTATTTCTCCCTTAGCTAATGAGGCCTTTGGAACTTCTTCTTAGGTAAACTGCTAACCTGATAATTCACTAGGTGTTTGCGTTCTCTTTCTAACCCACTGATTATGTTGACATGTTCGTAGGCCCATGAAGCTAATGTCTTCTTCCCTCCTACACCGTCCCAAAGAGATGGAAACACTCTTATAATCAAGAGAAACGAGCTGACGATGCGTCTTTGCCTGCCATCTCCAAAAAAATTCAGTCGACTCGATCTGAGGTTGCCTGAAAAAAGGCCACTTCTGCCATTGTGCCTACTCCGGTGGTAGCAAGAGAACGAGTTTTGCAGTCCGTTCCAACTCGACCAGAAAGCATTAACTCTAGTCCTGAAGGAGACCATCATGTACCTTCTTCTTCAAAGACTCTTTATCTTAGAAATTGTTTTTCCTTTTGATGACTCTGTTCTCACTTGCCTTTATTGTTTCAGCGATTGGCAGTTAAAATTGAAAAATGCCCCACTAAGATTGTCTTGAAATCTCCCAAGACCAAAAGGAAAACAACTATGGTCTTGACTGATAACGAGCCTTCTAGGAGTGACCTCAACTCTCCCATCACCCAGGGTACTTCTAAGTATTCTCCCATCAGTGAGGGATTGGAGGACAACGCTAATAATGATAGCCTAGGGGAGGGTATTGGAGATGATGGCTTAAAGGATCCTGAACATGCTGCTGCCGTTGATGTCAC